AACAGTGAAAATCACAAAATCGACATGTCCTAGTCATTAACCGTTAGCGCTAACGGTCGGTCGGTCATTGAAGTGCTGCTTGTTTATTTCCTAGGGTTGTCAGGACGCGTCTTGCGTCTTGGCATCTTTCAAAGGTTGATCCGTCGTCGCAAGAGTCTCCTAATCGGAAAAGAGAGAGGGGAAGACAGAGGGATAAGCGTATGCGAAAGGAGATGCGCGCGGCGTCTGGCGCGCGCGCGCGAGCGAGAGGGTGTGAGTCGTAGCAAGGGTGAGGGGGATGGAGGAAGCGAGAGCGTGAGAGGAGTGTTGGTGGAACAGCAGGTCCCATTTTGATGTGGGAAGCAGGTGGTGCTGGTGGTGTCGTAGATGTCGTTAAATGTCGGTGCATTGCCGAGCGCTTTGGTGGTGTCAGTGATCTGTTGCGGAGGATGAGAGGGAAGGGAACGGAGGGACACAGGAGTCAAAGAGCCAGATGTGTGTGTGTGTGTGCCTGTGTGTGTGCGTGTGCCTGTGTGTGTGCGTGTGTATGTGTGTGTGCGTGTGTGTTGATTAACCGCGACACGGGAGCGGGCCAACATGTGTGCACGAATGCGAGCTCCGTAGTCGAGCGACGTATACTAGTGCCTTTTCCAGTAAATAAACCGTGGAGGATTCTCCAACAAGATGCGTAGATGGTATCCAGAGCCCGGATAGAAGTGTGCGGCGCTGTGGGCAACTGCGTGTGTGCGTGTGTGTAACCAAGAAGGCATTGTGCCCGCTCGCAGCCAGTGGCTAAGAGTGATGCATCATCAACAAACAGCAAGTTAGTGAGCTCACTGTCCCCCGAGTGCAGTGCCACGCTTTGGTCCTGCAGTACGGACCACCTGGGGGGCCGGTGCAGCCAGCAATCCTAATGTATGACCGTTAGGGTGGGATGTACAACCAACGGTCCGACGGTTGAATCGCCAAACCCATGTGACGAGCAAAACTGCACTTAAGAGGGCTGAAGTCATGTTCCCAGTGTCGATAAGAATGGAGGCATCGGACTGGCACTCTTTACCTCGAAACCTCATAGATAAACCTTTAGAAACGGAGAAAGGCGAA